CTGCTCCACACTGGACTAGAGCTGTGCCCGCTTCCCTGTTCCCGGCTGCTCCACACTGGACTAGAGCTGTGCTTTGTAGAGCAGGAGGCCCTGTAGTGCTGTGTGTCTGTCAGATTTTTGTAAATCCAGTCATTTCATGAAAACCCCATTATTTAAAGGATCTTTCTTGGTCAGTATTTACTCTCTGATTCGAAGCCACTTTTCTCTGAGCTCAGAAGCTGTGTCTGCCCAGCTGTAGCAGCTGCTGTCATCTGTAGGTCTCAGATGCTGTTTTGTCTGTATTTTCTGTTTTAATTCATCACACTGACTAGATTTAAAACTCCTGATAAACATTACCTCCTCCTTCTGTGTCTCTCTTCAGTAATAAATAAGATGCCCTGGGCTTGGCTCTCAGGGACTTTGGAAACTTACGGAAAGTCCGTGAGGCGATGCCTCCTAGCTGTAGAGTGATAGGATTGTGAGTGATCTTCCTTCTTCTACATCTCTGGGTGAATTTGGGGTGATGCTTATAATTAAACATGTGTGTCTCAGGGGTGGAGAGATGACTCGATGGTTAAGAGCACCGGCTGCTTTTCCTGAGGATCAATTCCCAGCACCCACATGGCAGCTCACAACCATCTGTGACTCCAGTTCCAGGGGATCTGACATCTTTACACCGATGCACATAAAGTTAACTAAATTATTATTTTAAGTATATATCTTTACAGAAGACTCTCGTGGACATTCGTCCAAATGCCGTCTGTATCATCCCATTATGAGGGTTTTCAGATCCGAAATGGGGGTGAAAAAAAATGTCTGATGACTGCGTCAGCTTTCTTTAGCATGTGCACAGCACATTTCAGGGGTTCTCTGGAGCTTAAACCAGCCAGTTCCTGTGTCTCCACTGGAGTGGGAGTTTCTGGTCCCCGACAAATTCAGCAGCTTGACCTGTCTTGTTATCCTCTCATTTCCTAGGAACTTGGACCCCGATTAGCAGCCATGCTGAACTTTAACCTCCAGCAGCTGTGTGGCCCTAAGTGCCGGGACCTGAAAGTTGAAAACCCAGAGAAGTACGGTTTTGAGCCAAAGAAGCTGTTGGACCAACTGACGGATATTTACTTGCAGCTGGACTGTGCTCGCTTTGCTAAAGCCATTGCTGATGACCAGGTGAGTGCTAAGTGGGTCTTTCCCAGAAGGCCTGATACCCGTCACTGGGCTGTGCACTTTTGAATCTTCTGACTGTGCCTTCTTGGCAGACCCTGTGCATATTTCTCTTTCTCTCTCTCTCTCTCTCTCTCTCTCTCTCTCTCTTTCTCTCTTTCTCGTATCTCTCTCTCCTTCTCGGTTTCAGAAGTTTTTGGTTCAGTGACCATGAATGAAACAAAAGATTACATTTGGTCCATGAGGAGATGAACTGGCTGCTTCCTTGGGAGAAAAAAAGCAGAGTTGATCCCCTCATCCCTCAGACCCCAAATAGATTCAGTCTCCAAGCAGTATTGGCATTTCTCAGGAAATGTAGGTCTTCCCCGGTACTCTGCCTGAGAGCTGCCGTGAATCCGCGGCTTCCAGCCAAAGCCTCCTGCTCTTCACATCACTCCAGGTCCTTCGTGAAGAGAGACTGGGGGTCAGGTCAGCCACCAGTACAGGTCATACTGTTCTCCACACCTTCTCTCTGTGATGTCACAGTCGTCACAAAAGGGGCTCCCCTAGTGGCATAGTCCTGTATCCCAGATACCCAGGAGGCTAGAAGCAGCACAGATACAAGTTCAGGGCTAACCTGGACTTACTGAGATCATTTTGAAAATAACCTTGAGCTGGGAATGTAGTTCAGTGGTAGAGCATCCGGCTGTGCAAAGTCCGTGGCTCGGTCCTCAGTTCAGCCACAGAGCTCTTAAGAAGGAAAACCAAGGGCTCCTTCCTTCCTTGGTCTCTGGTCCTGCTTCTACTTTTTCCCAGGTCTTTTGAGATAAGGTCTCCTCTTGACTAAGCTGGCCTTGAACTCCTGATCTTAAAATCTGCCCCTCAGCTACTTTGATGTGTGCCTTCATGCACACAAATGTCCCTGACATTTGGGACATTTTCAGCATAGTAGTGGCTCCTATTAACTGTGTACCACTTCTGACCACCTCTCATGTTTACATTCATGTAGTAATCATAGAATTCTATGACTCAGTTTCTACTAGATTCTTCGTTTTAAAATTTAAAAAAAAAGTGGAGCACAGAGGAGCACATAGTGTGGTATAGAGGGCAGATCTGTGGCAGCGGTCTAGCCTGTACCATAGTGTGGTGTAGAGGGCGGATCTGTGGCCAGCAGTCTAGCCCTGTGCCCAGATTCTTCTCCCTTCTACCTAAAGGCTGAGAAGCTGTGGTGTTGATTCTTAAGTCTCTGTCTTCACACACATAACATATTCCAGTCTGATTCATGCTGTGTTATCCATCCTTACACATTCTAAAAGTCTCCCTGTATCTAACCCAAAGGAGTAATGTGAAAACATAAAAATTGTTTATGCTTCCGTCTTAAGTTTTTTGAAACAGGCTGGCCTCAAACCCAGGATCCTCCAGTGTCTCCCTCCTGAGTACTGCAGTCTCAGGTGTGTGCTTCCACACACTGCCTCAATGCTTTTTGATGTTTCTCTTATTTTTTGGAGACATGGTCTCTCTCTGTAGCTGGTTGCTTCTCCATTGCTGGGATTGTGGGTGTGGTGAGTGAGGATAGGGGTAGATATGCAGAGCAAGCAAGCATATGTAGTTATTTGGAAATGGAAGTTTTTGAAATGTAGCACTGAGGAGGCAGGGGTAGGTAGATGGGGGGAGGGGTCCAGTACTGCAGCGGAACGCACCTATGAGATGAGTCCATATGTTGGCGTCAGTGTGGATCCTGCTCAGAAGTTCACAGGACATCTGGCTGGTGACTGACTCTTCTGCCTTTCCTCTTCCCAGAATTCTCCTAGTCTGGTTGTCCTGCCTATATTTCATGCCTGGCTACTGACCAATCAGCATTTTATTAAGCTAATATGAGTGACAAATCTTTTCAGGGTGCAAGAGCATCATTCCGCAGTGCCAGAACCTCTTGTTTCCTCTGGAAATGAAAGCAGAACCTCTTTACCTAAGTAACATATCTTTTGACTTACATTTTGAAGTCAGGATATTTTAAAGTATATAGGTTGGTTTAATCTAGCAGTTTTTAATCATCAAATTTCTCTCAATAGTTATTTGCTTATTAACAGTCAAAAAATCTAAAGACAGCACAATAATATACGTAATCCAGACTGTGTTTTCCATCTTTATGTCACTTATTGTATTTATTTATTGCTCTAGTCCCTAAAACGGACTTTAATTTTTGTTTTGTTTTGTTGTTTTGAGACGGGGTTTCTCTGTGTAACAATCATGGAACTCTCTCTGTAGACCAGGCTGACCTGTAACTCACTGAGATCCGCCTGCCTCTGCTTCCGGAGTGCTGGAATTAAAGGCGTGCGCCACTACCGCCCGAATCTTTACTATTATTTTGAGTCATTTTTAACCTGTGTCTCTTTCTACCCTTTTTCTTCTGTCTCACAAACGTACACAGATTTTTTTTTAGCACACTGCAACCCGTTCAGAAGGCTTTTTGTCTCAATGTGTCCTTATTGTATGTTTCTAACCCTTTGTTTCCATATGAGCAAAAACCCTAAATCTGCCATGCGTCATGCGCATGACTTGTGACTTTACCTGTCCTCTAGCGTCTTTCTTCCCCAGCGGCTAGCTCGTGTCTCCCTCTCACTCTGCCCTTATTCCTCTCTGTAAATGGAAGTTTTTCTGTCCCGTCCACCTGTTAGCCATTCTGAGGCTTAATACATACTATAATTGTTTGGCCAATGGCTTAAACCTCTTGCTGACTAACTCTAACTATAAATTAACCCATTTCTAATAGCTTATATTTTGCCATCAGACTTGTGATTTGCTAGTAATGTTCAGACCTGCTCCCCACCTTTTCTCTCTCTGTATCTTGTTTGGACTTCCCGCCTAGCTTGACTTTGCCTGTCCATTAGCTGAAATAGCTTTATTCATCAACCAACAGAAGCAACACATACACAGAAGGACCTCCCACATCACCTCTCTGTATTTTCAGTTTGGCTGTCCCGCCTAGTCTTACTCTGTCTGGCCATAGGCCAAATCAGCTTTATTACCAACCAATGAGAACATACATATTCGGTGTACAAAAGGATTATCCCACATCATTGGAGTGGTCCAGTGCTGTAGAATATCTGACATTAAATAGCATTGGATTCAGGAATGGGTGTGTTCTCGCATGCTTGGTGATTGGTTATTCTGGGGTTTTGTTGCTGTTGTTTGTTACTGTGATCTGTTGAGATAGGACCTCACCATTCAGCCTTGGCTGGCCTGTGAGACTTCCTTCCACCCTCCTATTCTAGCCCCTTAACTGGCAGGAAGGAGTACACATGTGATGGCCACCGTGCCAGGCATAAGCGAGCCTAGAGAATGGACGGTGAATAGAGCAAAGCAAGCCCTAAGTGTCGCCATGATCAGGCAGTGGTGTGTATTTGATTTTTATCTGTGCTCACCTTCATGTGAGAAAACTGGAATTTATCTTGTTTCATGGGCTTCTAGGGTACCGCGCCCCACAAAGATTGAAATAAATTAGGTTTCTTTCTCTTTTTAGTAGCTAAATTTTAAAAGAAATGCTTACTTGCTCCCAGAGTATAAAAATTCACATTTTTCTGGGTCCTGTAGCCTTTTCCATAGATGACTGTGGAGTTTGCTCATGTCATTCTCTGTCTGCATTCGTGACTATATTCATTATTGTCTGTGCACATGACACAATGTTGGGAAACTGGAATATAGAATTTATAGTTGTAATTTTTAGAAGCAAAAGATCAAATGCATTGCACTTGGATTTTTTTTTTTTTTTTTGAGACAGTTTCTCAGTAGCTTTGGTACCTGTCCTGGAACTAGCTCTTGTAGACCAGCCTGGCCTCGAGATCACAGAGATCTGCCTGTCTCTGCCTCCCGAGTACTGGGATGAAAGGCCACCACCACCCAATGCACTTAGACATTTTCTTCCTCTCAAGTGTATTCTCGTCTCATTGCCTTTCCTCATCTGCAGAGGTCCTACAGCAAGGAGCTGTTTGAAGAAGTCATTTCAAAGATGCGGAAGGCAGGAATCAAATCCACCATTGCAATAGAGAAGTTTAAGCTTCTTGCTGAGAAAGTGGAGGAAATAGTGGCCAAGAACGCACGGGCAGAAATTGACTACAGCGACGCGCCGGATGAGTTCAGAGGCAAGTTCTTTTGCTCGTGTCCACGTCTGTGGTGCAATTGGAAGTATGTGGCATCAAGAGGGCTGTCTTTGTCACCGTTCTACTGCCGTGAAGGGACACTGTGACCTGTGTAGCCTTGGCTGTCATGGAACTCGTTCTGTAGACCAGGCTGGCCTCAAACTCACAGAGATCCACCTACCTCTGCCTCCTGAGTGCTGGGATTAAAGGCCTGCACCACCACTGCCTGGCCCCAAAGCAACTCTTATAAAAGAAAGCATTTCATCAGGGGCTTACTTACAGTTTCAGAGGGTTAGTCAATGACCAATATGGCAGGAAGCGTGGTGACAGGCAGGTGGGCAGGCATGGGGCTGAGAGCTGACATCATGATGCACGTGATTCCACGCCAGTGACATACATCCTCCATCAAGGCCACACCCTCTTAATCCTTTCCAAACAGATCTACTAACTGGGAATGAAACTTTCAGATGTATGAGCCTCTGAGGACCATTCAGATCAAAGCCACTACAGGGGCACTGTCTGTGTTTTTTGATTGTTTTGTGACATGCTATAGGTGTTTCTTGGGAGTTGTCTAAAATTATGTATACAAATTTTGACTTATATTGTAGATTAAAAGATATGAACATCTTTAGTGTGATTTCACCAGATACCCATGAGGACTTTAAAGACTGCTCTACCTTCCTAAAGGGAAGAGTCTGAGTTTTCAGGCAAAGGGTCCTGTCCCAGGGGTCTGCTTCCTTGCTGTTTTCTCCTCCTAGATGCAGGGACCGGAAGGTCTGTCCACAGCTCTCCCTCTGGCTGTGTCTCTCACGGGTCGGACAGTGTGCTTCTTCAGTCGTAGCTTCCACCATTGGGTTAGTGTGCTCTGCTTTGTCTCTGCAGACCCTCTGATGGACACCCTGATGACCGACCCTGTGAGGCTGCCCTCTGGCACCATAATGGACCGCTCCATCATCCTGCGGCATCTTCTGAACTCCCCCACTGACCCCTTCAACCGCCAGATGCTGACGGAGAGCATGCTGGAACCAGGTAGGAGGCTCAGCCTGCCTTGCAGCGTTGATGCTCGTACCCTGGGACCTATAATCCCAGCTAATGGGAGGATGAGGCGGAAGGGTAGCCTGTTCAAGACCAGCCTAGACCACTTAGTTGAGACACCACTCAAATAAATAAAAAAGGCAAGTTGGCTAAATCTCTACCCACAGAACACTTGCCTAGCGTGTGTACATCCCCAGACTCAGTCCCTAGCACCACCATCAAAAACAGAGACACTGCATCCAGAAAGTACCCAGGTTAAGCTCTTTTTGTGGAAAAGACAAAGCACTCTGCTTGCTTTTTCTGCAAATGCCCCCCTCTCTGTGGCTGCTTCTGCCACAGTCTTCAACACGCAGAGGGAATGAATGGCCTCCTTCCACTTAGAACCACACACTGCAGAGCCTGTCCGTCTAGGCCATTAATCCCCGTCTTTCCTCCCTCAGTGCCAGAGCTGAAGGAGCAGATTCAAGCCTGGATGAGAGAGAAGCAGAGCAGTGACCACTAAGCCGTCCCTGTCGCACTTCTCTGCTGGAAACAGCCACGCCAGCCAGCCAGGCCGAAGCAGCATCCACCTCAAAGCTGCTGCTCAACCCTGCAGCCAGATGTGGCCAGCTCCTGAGAGCCCACCCCGAGTGACCAAACAGTGGAGATCTGAGAGACATGATGAGAAGAGGAGCCCGATTCCTGTACATATATTTAAGTGACAAACGTCAAAAGCTTGAGGGACGAGTTTTACGATTGCCTGTGTAGTAAAGCGCGTCCTTCGCCTGTCACGACCTGGGGCTGTGGCGACGGAAGTCTAGTGATGGCGAGCGGGTCTGGGCAGCATCCCCTGAGCTTTCGTTTTGTTTTGTTTTTTTCGATGTGACTAGAGAACTCGGACATTTTGCTGCTAAAGAATCTCCCCCTTCCTCACCCTCCTTGCGCTGTGGGTTTTTTAAAGAGAAACAAAACCAGACTCCTTTCCCAGCCTCCAAAAACGTATTCTGTGAGATACCTGTGCCTGCGACAAGTGTTAATCTTGGGATCGTATTTTTATATCATATTCACATACTTGTTTTTTTAATTGGTGTTAGATGACATGATTAATAAAAACGGCAAGATATTTTCAGAATTTGAATTTCAGTTTTTTTTCCCTTTTGAAATAGCCCTTTTACATTTTTTTTTTATTATTATAAACAAAATGAAGAGAGCCCTGTTGCCCTGGCCCTTCTACCAAGCCCTCGATTAAGATTCTGAGGAACAGGTGCAGCATCGGGATGGCTGAAGTGGATCAGGACTTGTGTGACTTGTGGGGTTTGGGGAGATGAGGGTTGTGTTTTTGTTTTTGTTTTTTTAATCCAATGTGACAATTCCAAACCTATTGCCATTATCCTCTGGGAATCAATAGATTCCTCAACCCTGGGTTTATTTGTATGCTGTGTCCTTTTGGTGTTTGGCCTTACCAAAGCAAAAACAAAAAACAAACAAAAAAAATAGAGGGTAGAAGAAATGTGGAAATCTGTCTGCTTGTTTCCATGCTCGGACAAACGCCACCACGCTGGCGCACGCGAGCAGAAGCCCTTTGTATTACCGCTCCCTACGCAACATACTTGAATTCTTGAACTTCCTGTGGGGTGAAAAAAGGATTTGAAACCATAAAGTGTTCTAAGAAAATGAAATCTTCAGAAGCATATTTTCTTTTCTTCCCCTTCTCCTCTTCTCCACAGACAATGTGCTCTGTTCAGTTCCCAACACAAACTCCAATAAACAGTGATGCCCATTCGGAAGGAGTCCTCTGTGCGTAGTCTTTTTGTGGAAGAGAAATGGGCGGGGACCGGCTGGACATAGAGTGGCGCACACCTCTAGTCCCAGGGCTTCCAAGGAAGAGGCAGGAGGATCTCTGAATTTGAGACCAGCCTGATCTACATACAGAGTTCCAGGCTATCCTAGGCTACATCATAAAATGCTATCTTTAAAATAAATAAACAAGTAGATAACTGGGCAGTGGTAGTGCACACCTTTAATGCCAGTGCTCAGGAGGCAGAGACAGGTGAATGTCTGTGTGTTCAAGGTCAGCCTGAGTGAGTTTTCAGCAGTTACAGGAGCACTGTGGCTCTCACAGTGGGAGCCTGGTCTAGTTCCCAGCATCTACAGATCACAGCTGCCTGGAACTCCTGTTTCAGTGACTCATGGGCACTGGGCACACACATGATGCTCACACATATGCTATCAAAGCATTTACACACATAAGAATAAAGGGACGAGGGCACAGAAGAGCCAAGTGGGTGTGCATGCAGAGAGGTGCTCTTTCTGGAGCTAGTTAGGAATTGCTAGTTTTTAAATAAAGCATTATGGGCCATTGAGATGGTTCACAGAATAAAGGTGCTTGCTGCCGACCTGGTGACCTGAGTTTGATCCCTGGAATCCATGTGCTTAAAGGAGAGCGCTGACTCCCACAAGTTGCCCTCTGTCCCCCACACATGGTATAGCACACCCCCATACAATAAATAAATGTATAAAACGTTTACTTGAAAATAAAACCGTCTCATCCTCATCGGTCTTCCTTGCTGTGGCCCTTGGTTCGCATTCCACTCTGCTGATGTGAAGGGCCTCAGCACTGTCTCTTCAGGTACCTCAGAGATCTCTGTGGTCAGCATGCTTACTCAGGTCCCATCCATTCCATTAGCTCCTCCAGTTAGCACAGGCGGTAATGACCCCAGCCACAGGAACCACTTAGACGGTACTTCCTACATGCCAGGCACTGTGCAAAAGCCTTTGTATTTATAGTGCTGGCCCCAGGTAGATAGAACTGCCTGTTTTTCTCTGGTTTGTTTGGCTGTTTTCAATAGGTCAGGATGCCAGCTGCAGACAGTTAGGTACCATGCCCATTGTCCCCTGGCAAGTGTCCTGGCTCTGGGGCCCATGCCATTTGTTTCCTTAATGTCTATTTCTCTTGAGTACATTAGACTCACTATCTCCCCTCCCCATCCCAAACACACAGTTTGGGCTAGAATGTAGCTCAGAGGTAAGAGCATCTACCGAGCATGTGTGAAGATCTGGGTCAGTTACCCATGATCCTACCTTTCAGATGATTCTATTCTATTTGCCTGTTACTGGGCTTATTATCCACAAGCCTACGAAGTTAATTATGTTCATTAGAACTGTGCCTAATGTTTGTTGGTTTCAAGGTTGAGGAATGCTTATCTCCTGTCCACCCCTAGGAGGTGCTGTCCTCACCCCATCAGTGTTAGGGGTGCTGCTTCTGGCTGCCTCTTCATTACTGAAGTGTTCCAAGGGCAGTCTTTAGGAAAGGTGAGGCACGGGTGCAACCCATCTCCTTACCTCTAGGGGGCGCTGTTTTCTTTATTATTGGAGTCTTAGGGTAGGTGTTTTATGGGAATTCATTGTTTGCCTTCAATCTACTAATTATAGGATCCAAAATATTTCAAAAGTAGGTCTGGATTGAAAGGAAGATGGTCCAACAAGGAGACCCGGCATCCTATCAGCAGGAGGGAAGCCCTTGAGCAAAAAGAGGACAGGTACATTGTGCTCATCTTGTGAGTCACCACTATGTGGGTTCTGAAAGGGAGTGGGAGAACACCTCTTCTGTCTTCCTGGTGATGCTGAGGTCCTACTCAGGACACATACGTGCTAGGTGAGCACTTGACACCCAGCTGAGAGACATCCTGGCCCATCTCGTTTGCTTAGACCTCGGCTCACCGAACAGTGAATTTCCTGCTGTTTGATTCCTCTCCTAAAATGATTTGTGCACCTTCTGGCTAAGTTTTTAAAAGGTCTTGATGTATATGTGAACTGCCTGTGCCACGTGTGTGCAGTGCCTGTGGAAGCCAGAAGAGGGCAGGGCAGAGGATCCCCTGGAGCTGTCTGGGTGTTAGGGACCACACCAGAGTTCTCAGTGAGAGGAGTACGTGCTGAGTCCTCTCCAGCCCTTAAAGACATTTTTCTGGAAGAAACATGAGCACCGTGTCGCATCAGCCTGTGTTGGGCTGTAGGGACTCATCTGGGACTAATGGCTCGTGATTGCATTTTTTAATATGTACAGTGTACAGACCACTCTTAGTGTGTATTAATAACTCATTTAATCCTCAACAGCCATTGGTAGGAGATGATGTCCTGAGCCTGAGACACGAACCTAGAACATCTGCCTTCGCCTGGTCTCGTCACCATTCCTGCTGCCTGGTGGGATCCTTTAGAATGGTCTATATTCAGAGTCGTTCAGAATGCCCAAGGAAATAGAAAGCAGAGCAGTGTGGAAGGGATTTTCTTGATGTCAGCCCCAGGCCTAGTGGTCTCTTTTTGTGTTTGCTTTTGAGACAGAGTCTTACTGTGTAACACAAGCTGGCCTGGAACTCACTGTGTAAGCCAAGCTGGCCTCACTGATTGCTATAGAAAATGTCAAAAGCATCAAGAGATGACTCAAAAGCTAAGGAGCATCTCCTGTTCTGCAGGGCAAAGGAGGCTGGAGGAGCGGTCTCAGAGTTGACAAGAGGCACCAGGAGCTTTCGCTTTTTATTTTATTATTTTTTTATTTTTATTCTTTTCTGGGCTAGGGGTGAGGGGACATTTTAGGGTTTCTCTGTGTTCTGACTGTCCTTGAACTCGCTTTGTAGACCAGGCTGGCCTCAAACTCACAGAAATGTGCTTCCTTCTGCCTCCCAAGTGCTGGGATTAAAGATGTGCGCCACCATGCCTGGTACCCAGAACTTCTTAATACGGCCCACAGATCTTAGCATGTGGGTGCCCGTGGAAGCTAGAAAAGGGCATAGGATCCTCTAGATCTGGAGTTACAGGCAGTCATGAGCCGCCTGACATGGGTGCTGGGAATTGAACCAGGGTCCTCTGGAAGAACAATAAGCATTCTTAGCCGCTGAGCCTTCTCTCCAACTCCTCTGCCTTATTTTTTATAGCCAACGTGGTGTTATTGCCAAGCTTTTCCTATCCTGAAATGAAATCATAGGTAATGTAACCCACCTAAACGTGGTGCGTTGTTGCTGCTGCTGCTGCTGGTGCTGTTTAATGTTTATTTAAAATGATCTCATGTCGTCCATGTTGGCCTCAAACTCACTCACTACTCAGCTGGGAATGACCTTGAATTTTCATCCTCCTGTCTACATCTCAAGTGTTAGAGTCGAAAACTTATACCATCATTTCTGGTCTGTGCGGTGCTGGGGATCAAATCCCAGACTTCTCATATGCTACCGAGTCTACCAACTGAGCTACATCTCAAGCCTCCCCTCCCAGCAGCTATTATTAGAAAACACAAGAGGATGAGCTGCGTTTATGGTGATGCTCTTACAATAATCCAGGAGATAGCCAACTGCGAATGACTCAGAACAAAGCAGCTGGAGTGGAGCCAGGGAGAGAGGCTGGATTCTGGGATAGGTTTGATGATGGAGTTGAGATTTGTGAATAGGTTGGGGTCGGGAAGAAAGTTCATGTGACTTTGAAGGACATCAGGTACAATGATGGGGACACTGAGTGGAGCAGGCTTGGGGTAAAGTGCGAAGATTTTAGGCTATCTAGCCGGGCAGTGGTGGTGCACGCCTTTAATCCCAGCACTCGAGAGGCAGAAGCAGGCTGATCACTATGAGTTCAAAGCCAGCCTGCTCTACAGAGTGAATTCCAGGACAGCCAGGGATACACAGGGAAATCCTGTCTTGCAAAACCAGTAAAGAAAGTGGAAATGCAGTATAGGAAATGTCCGGACTGGAGACATAAGTTTGGGGCCGAGAGTTCTTGGAATGACTGACAGCTGTCGGATTGAAGGCGTCTGACTGCGGTGAGCGTGTGAGATGACCGCGGTGGCAAGCACCCGGAGTCCCAGGAGGACTGGGACTTCAAGGTCATCTTTGGCTACTCTGCTAATTTAAGATGAGGCCAGGCTGGGCTCCGTGGGACCACTTCAAAAAGAACAGAAAAATAATATGAGCAGTGAACGGCTATGTCTGGAGTCTCAGCTGTTAGGAGGTAGAAGCCAGAGGTTCGGGCGTCCAAGGACAGTCTGCTACATAAGGAATTCAGGCCCACCTGGAGCTACCTGAGCCCCTGTCTCAAAATATCCACATCCAAACAAGACAAGCTCCAGTGTGCTCTGTCTTCATCTGCCGCTCTGTCTTCATCTGCCGCTCTGTCCCAAGCCGCTGTCGCCTGCATTGAGTTTAATTGCCCAGTTCTGAGGACCTAAGTCTTGTTCTTAAACAGATCACCTAAATTTTGTCAGTTAAACCAGGAACTGAGATCCATCGTTGTAAATTAGGCTTGAGTTGACTGAGCTCGGGAAGTTCTCACTGGGGGAACTGCTATGTTTGAGGTCAAGTTGGAGCTGGGGCTGAAGATATCTTGAAGGCCTCCTTACAACATTTCTCAGTCTACATACCTATAATGGCCTCTAAGCTACTCTTTGGAGCATTTTGTCATGAACAATAAAGAGACACGGGCAGGAGCCTTGCTTCAGTCATTTCCAAACCCCCAGGGAGCCCAGGGCGTGTGGAGGACTTATGACGTTGCTGATTTCCAGCAGACAGCCTCTAAATCTTCCATCCTTTTGTATCATCACTTTATAGTGGTTTAAATTATTTATGTTGTTTTGTTGAAAGCGAAGCCTGTTAGAGAACTGTCACCAAGGGAAGGGCAGGAAACGGCAAGCACACCGAATTGTGGCAGGACAGAGACTTTTCAACGTTGTTATAACTTAAGACTCTTGGTGAAAGAGTGTGTGTGTGTGTGTGTGTGTGTGTGTGTGTGTGTGTGTGTTCATCAGACACAAGAG